GATAATGTCTGAAGAGGGCTCAATCTGGTAGTCGAAACTTGTAACGTTTTACATTTGAATTTAAACTGAGTTTTTTTATTTTTGTCAATTTTTTTACTTTTCTTTATTTTTAATTTATTCCTTTTAAATTGTGTGACAATTTAAAGAATGTGTTTGACTCTTACTTTGCCCTTTATTTATTGTTATTTACGAGTATTTTAATATTGTTGTACCGGATACCAATAAAAAAGGGCTCTCACGTATCATTATGTATTATTATGCGCGTGCTATAAATAAATAATTTTTAAACAATGAGCTATTTATAATATCTGTATGTTATTTGGCGTTTGTAAGATATTCGATGTTCGAAGCCAAAAACATAGAAGCGAGGAATCCTGTTCACATAACATTTGTGATTTTTTTCGAGCGAAAAATGTTATTTTTATGTTATGTTTTTCAACAAGTGTCATACGAACCGAGTTTCTCGCTTCTGTATTTTTGGCTTCGAACATGAGGATTGAAATCACCGCTTACAATGTCAGTATTGCCTAATAAGTTACAGGAGAAAGACAAGCAAGGATCCAGGCGGGTATACATAGTTTTTAATTATAAATATATTTGTTCTCTTCTTCTTCTTACACATTAGGCCTCTAGCGTGTTTACCTCTCTTATATGCTTGTGGTGTGCACATTGATTATTCAATTGCCACAAGCATATGGGACTTATAGTTTTAATGCCAGTTCCGAACGGCGAATTTTTCGAGAGGTGTTTCTGTAGGCAAGGATACTCTTCGGAAGGTGGCCAGTCTTTTCCGAGAGGAGACACGACCATAAATATTTCGGTTCCTACCAGGATCGAATCCGGGATCTCTGGCACGAGAAACCAGTGCACTGTCTATCATACCACATGTTCTTTATTGCCGCTTCGGAATCGCGATGATAGAGATGTTTGTTAACGGCTTAAGTAGATTTGTTGATTCTCATGCTAATTTGCGGTTTATAATTTAGTGTATCTTCCAATTGTATGCAAACGCACGTAATTATTTAGATGTAAATTGGTTGCATTACGCATATATGTATTTATTTCATAGAAACCCAAATTACTCGAACTGCTACAGGCAAAAATTTTGCTCATTTGAATATGTGATTGGAAGTTTATTAATAATAAATTAATCATGAATAATAATCAGTCGTAAATACATTTTCTGTTATTTTGACATATCGATTTTAATATTAATTACATTGGATTTTCGAGGGATGCTATTTCTCGTTTCGCCCCTGCGAGCAATTATGTGTTGAAATTTACGGAAAGTTTTCAATTTTTTTTAAATATTTATTCACGGCTTTAACAGGGATATTTTGAATTGAAAACACGGGAACGTCGCATGCATCTCGGTCGCCTAAAGAATTTATATATTTTTATATTTGCAATTTTGTGCACGCCCGAGTTGCTCGCCTTCCGCTTCATTTCTGATACTTCAACAACAAACACAGCAACAACTACGTGACAACGGCGATCCTCTTGTAATCCCAGCTGCGCTCGATGCAGAGTAGCAACGATGACACGGCGTCGCTAGAAATAACAATATATCGGATTTTGTACAAGTGTATGTGTGTGTTATCCTATAGTCGTCATAGCGCCTTCTGATCTAAATAATATTCCGAGTTATATCCTCCGCTTTGGAAACCGCATCTCGTCTGCTGGAACCGACCATTTTCTTTTTTTTTTCTTTTTTTTTTTTAAATTTTCGCTCTCGTGCCACGTTCAAATATTATTCTTTCGTTGAAACAATTACGACGTCTCTTTGCAGCTTTGTTTTCAGCGGCTTTGTCACTCGCGCAGACGTTGTTAAATCGCGCTACGATATTTCAAGGCCGATGAGTATTTCCACGTGGTATTAATATTCGCGATATTGCGGTTACAAATAAATTTCTTGAAGAAGGTGGCAAGGAAGAAGTAAGAAAGAACTGTCAACATTTTTATGCTGCGTATAAAATTTTTGATATAGGCATTTTTGCATATATCGCTCATTTCCTACAACAACTGACTGACCACAACTCAAAAAGCAGTTTTTCAGAAAAAAAAAAACATTTGAATGTTTTGAATCATTATAAAATTTTGTAATATTGATTTTGAAATGCAATTTTTTGACGTAATAACTGTAGAGGAATTTATAAAAGAATGTGCCTTTTAAAATATGTTTTTTTTCTTTTTTTCTTTTTTATATTTCCATTCTTTTTCTGAAAGTAATTGTTGTAGGAAATTAGCGATATGTCACGTAACGATTAAAATACCTAAATTTAAATCGTTTCTAAATTGTTGCTCATTCAAAGTTCATTTTAAAAGATCTTTACAGAGAGATAAGATAAAATAATAATACTTTTTAAAAATTAATTTTTCCATTAATATCGTACTTGCCATCGCGATTTACTTTCGAAACTCCACTCTTTCTCAAGAATTCTGAGAAGAATGATTTTATCCGTAAAAATTGAAAGAGCATCTCAGATATCTCGCGCTGGATAGCTTTGACCCGTTATGTAAGGCGATGCAAATTCGTTTTATTCGCCGCGGCGGCTTCAGAAACGTAAAGCGGCATTAATCAACGGCAGCGTAAAGTGCTGCCGTTAATCACGCTAAGTACACACGTATTTGCGGTCATGTGCCATAGACAGGTACGGCGATGCATAGGAGTTCTCTCCCTGCGTTTGCACACCAAATGGATGGAGATTCTTCGGTGTGCTCCGATTTTATCATACAATTCATCTATTGTTTCGGCAGCTCCGCTATCAGGAGGTCGCCCAAAGTGCTCTATTATCCGACACGTTCCCTTCAATGCGGAAACAATCGATAAAATCGTCGACTGTGCACCGCGAACGAGAAATCAGTCACAATTAATTGAAGCAGTCATCTACCGAGAAGCACCCATGCAATTATTTTTGTTGTAAATGAATTTAAAGTTGTGAATACTCTTTGAAATTTTACCGCAAGCAAGCTTTGTGCTTGAAATCTTTGTACTGTTTATTAGATTTGCTTGTTAATTTTGTTGTAAAGGCAAGTAGAGAAAGAATGTACAATATAACGCTATTTGCATCATGCTGGTGCTTTCCACGAAAATGAAATTGATATTGAAATTTATTTGCCGTTTTTTGAAAGAATAAACAATTTATATATTTTATTAACTTCTGTTTATTTATTTTGTGACTTTACGAAAGAATTATATTCTTTTTAAACATATGATTTTATACACGTTACATCTGCCTCTTTTATTAAAATGTCAAGGATTGTTTAATGTACGGTATTTCTCTTGCGTGGATTGTGGATTTAGAGATGTGAATTATGAATATTCCCGTCGCCTTCAACTCGCCAGGAGCTTACCTTTGCTGGGAGAAACCTAATCGCAATCTTGTTAGCAAGTTAGAGAAGCTTATATGTATACATACTTAGTAGCGGTTAACAAACAAATATTTTCAATGGTTGTCAGAAAAAAAAGTATTAATCTCAAAATGCAGTTTTTCAGACAGATGGTCGAGGAAAAATGCGATTAGACGACTTATGGATGTTAGCACTAAACAATTAATGCGTACAACGTGATAAGGACCATGATTTATATTCTGAAAATATATTTCTGAATCATGTCATTGTTGTAGGAAATTAGCGATATATCATACCTTGATATGACTTACAATACGTATTTAATTAATAAAATGTTAATCGACGTGATATTAGCCCCGTTATCTTAATTATTAGCTTCTATATAAACCCAGATAAGCTAGCGATGATATCTGGATTTGTACTCGAGATTGAGTCGCAATCCGAGTATGTGATAGTTGCAAGCTATGCTTTTCATGCTGTTATTTCTCGGCAACGTCTTATACTTTACATTTCTGTGTAAATTTAATGCATGCTTAATCCGACAACGTTTCTCAATCATTCACCTTGAGTTCTTGCGCGATTATATTATGCAAGATGTGGGATCATTCTACGTCCTATTAATGCGAGATAGCTGGATCAATAGTTCGCTTGGTGTCTGCCGAGTTGCGATCGCACCTTTGTGCAAAATGACGTCACGTTCTACTTCGACATTTCTATTGTAAACTTTTTTTCCAGCGGAACGCTACACAAAATCGCATACGCAATACATGTAGCGTGCAATATGAAAAATTGCAGAATTCATCAACAATGATGATTCTGATGTGTTTAGTTTTTGTGCAACAATTGTGATGAAATTTTACAATCGTGACAGATAAAAACAGAAAGCTATAGAAAAAATACACGTGGATTTTTTAAATTTCTATTTTAGGTGTCTACATTTTTTATAGCAACACAAATATTGCTTTTATTGTAATTTTTCGCGCATGATTACGTACGGTATAAAAACTTCTTTCTCTTTTTCTCTGTTTCTCTCTCTCTCTCTCTCTCTCTCTCTCTCTCTTTCGTTTTTACGCAATGCTTTAAAGCTGTCACTGCTGCCAGGCACAAGACAAGCCAGGATCTGCCTCAATATCGACCTATATAGTAGGTCGCTGTTTCGCTCCACCTGGACCACATTTATTTAACGATGACTCGCCCGCTATGTCGATATTGCATAGCTGCAAAGCCGGAGGTGTGGCTATATTATGTCCGCTCCACGCTAGAGCTTCATGTATTATCAGTGTTACGTGACATATAATATGCTAGTGTGATATGATTAGGCTAGTCACTGCAAAAAAAGAAAAAGTGCAAAGTTAATGCGTAATAAATATTCAAAGAATATATTTTCTACTGTGATATGTAGTATATTCATATACTAATAATAATAGTTTTGCTTTTCGAAAGATAGACGTGTTTACTTTATTCTTTGATAAACAAGCGATTTTATGAAATTATTTACTTACTGTTTTAAAACGGTTAATATATTATATTGCATATTTTTTTTTGTTAGTTTGACAATATATATTATTTTATATATATTATTTTCAGGTTGGTCGATGACAGGTGTGTAGTATGTCCCGAAGCTGGAGACTTGTCGAATCCACCGAAGAAATTCAGAGGTAATTCATATTTTTTAGATGTCTTTGTCTTTGCTTTTTAATCGATTTTGTCCTTTTAATTATTAATGGTAGCTTTTTTGATATCTAATTTTTTTAAACATTTTATTTCGCGAAAATTTAAGCAGATAATGTTAAAAATGTATTAAAAGTGTGTGTAATAAAATAAAAAAATTACAAATTTTTCTATATTGTATTTGAAAGTGATACAATAGTTTGCTAGCAATTTAGAATCTTTTTTTAGATAAAAAATACATTAAAATAAAATGAGAAAATTTTCATTTAAACTATAAAATTGTATTGTTAAATATATATTATTAAATATTGACCTTATTGAACTATTTTATATGTATACATTTATATGTATAACATCCATTTTTATACGGAAAGTATAAATTTTCAAATCTCATAATTTTTTTGAAGAGATTATACATTTGACACCTCCGTAAAATAAATTCGAGCAATAACGAAATGTATTGATTTTTTTTTAGATTGCCTCTTCAAAATATGTCCCATGAATCGATACTCCGCTCAAAAGCAATTCTGGAAGGCAGCAAAACAGAGTGCGAGTTCAGGCACAGATGCTATCTTGCTGAAAAGACTTCACGTAAGTTGCGGAAGATGCTAAATTGTTTAATCAATTCACATTTTTAATTAAAAGAAATACACACTTATACAGACATATATTTTTCTTATATATTCTAAAACTGGAAATGGTACATTTGTTAATACCGTACGCGTTACTCTGAAGAGTAACTAGGTGCATGATAATATGAATACTATACAGAATATTTATAGATGTATTCAATCAGTTCTTAATATTAAAACCTATTTACTGATTATTTAATGGAATTTATTATTATTTTCTTCGATTGCCATTTAATAGGATTTATCTTTTTCTCAGCATGCGGCCGAAATTGAGAAAAAGCAAAATGAGACTGAAAACAAGAAACTACTAGGCACGGTGGTTTCCTACGGTAATGTCATACAGGTAAGAAAATAAATCTTTTTTTGCTGGAAAAAAATCTCTTGTGAGTGACACTATTTTATTAATGTATATCTTGAGCGCTTTATGCTTGACCGCATATTCTTATAACGTAAAGTAGCTATATATATGAATAATAATAGATTTATCAATATCGTTAGGGGAGCGGCTTTTCTCTTAACACCTTCTTTTTTCGCAAAGCGATCATAAAAACTGTTTGGTACATCCATCGTATTGACGTAGTTATCTGCCTTGTATAAGTATTTGTTAATTAACGAGATTTTCTTTCTCCGCGATATTCTTGCCATGTCAGAAAATAGAAGTGACATTAAATGGCGAAACTAAGTCTGTAATAAATAATTAACATCTTAATATGATGCCTGATTGAACATCAAGTTATTAAAATTACTTGTCAATTTAATTTGCGATATTACTACAGTAATTGCCTTTATACACAATGCGTTTTACACAAATTGCGTTTATAAGAGTGGAAAAACAATTCGCAAGGTTTGAATGACTATAAATATGGTATGCAAGTATATATAAATATTGTATATATAAATATAAATATAATATATATAGTAATTCAGATTGAATTATTTAAGCATTAAAGTCTAGCTTTGATCGTTACGGCTTTATTTCTTATTGTTGAATTTACAAATAATTAAGTTTCTGTTTCGAGTTGTAATACATTGTTGCTAAAAAGTATGAAAAGATGGCACTTTGATCATCGGCAGATGAGATAACATCGTGAAATGAACGTTATGTTGTACCTGTAACGTATATAGATTGTATCTTCGATCGCAGCAAAGGATGCCATTAGACGTTCAATTAATTTCTGCTATAATGTATTCTTCATCGAATTATCGATTCTCTTATCTTTCGCACACCACGTTGATGTATTACGTATAAGTTAATTAATCATCTTTATTTTATATTATCTCGGTTACACGTTATATGTTGTATTGTACGTTGCAAAATTATCTACTTATTATAGCCTTTTTAACTTGCGAAATAATTCATTATAACAAAATACAATTTTGTTCCAATTGCTCACCACGAATATTGTAAACGCAAACGTACGAATATGCAATTAGCATACAGATTAATTTTATTCACATTGCGCTGCGTGCGTTTATAAATAAATTTACATTATATTTATATACGTCAAACGTAGAAAACTGTTAAATCTGTAATACATCAAATTATATATATGTCAAATTATACTCAGTTTTAGTTATTTTTAATTATTTGTCTAGATCATCATACTGCTCTTACTCAATGTCATTAACTTAATTAATTGTAAATAATGGAGTTAAACAATTTAATTCAAGAAATGTATTTGACTAAATTTAATTTACTGGGCACATACATAACGTTGTTTACGTTGTAACTAAAAATTTAATTGCAGAAATGGATTGATGTGTACATACATAGAAATTAAAAATAACAAAATATTATTTAATTCAAAGGATTAACATAAATATGATAGAGAACGCCAATAATCGGTCAAAGTTACATGTGAATACAATATATATTCTTAATTTTTTTTTAAATTTAATTACCTCAGATATGACTGTGCGCCGAAACGTTCGTTAACCGCAATCGATTTGAGACGCTAATAATATAAATATGATATATCAAAGGATTAAGTCATTTTGTTTTTTTATCTCTACCAGTGTACAAATATAATTATTTATGACTTGTCTGTGACAGTTATTGCATCTTAAATCAAACAAATTCCTGACGGTCAACAAAAGGCTGCCGGCGTTACTAGAAAAGAACGCGATGAGGGTTTACTTGGACGCGAATGGAAACGAGGGTTCGTGGTTTTACATAATGCCGTTCTACAAGCTGCGTAGCGACGGCGATAGTGTCGTCGTCGGTGACAAGGTGATCATGGAGCCGGTAAACGCGGGTCGTCAAGGTCTTCATGTAGCCGCCAATTACGAGCTGAGCGACAATCCCGGCTGCAAGGAAGTTAACGTTGTGAATTCATCCACCTCCTGGAAGGTAACCCTCTTCATGGAGCATCGGGAGAACCAGGAGGAGATTCTCAAAGGCGGTGACGTAGTGCGGCTGTTTCACGCTGAGCAAGAAAAGTTTCTAACCATGGACGAATACAAGAAGAAGCAACACGTGTTTCTCAGGACGACGGGCAGAACCAGCGCTACCGCGGCTACCAGCAGCAAAGCCTTGTGGGAAGTCGAGGTGAGCTGATTTAATTTACATAAATTTATCTATGAAGATGCTTTTTTACTTAACATGCAATATTTGAAACTGAGTTTTTGCAAACATTTTATTACTCAAATTCTTATTGCGTTTATACTGATTTGACTTTGACATACCTTATTTTTATAAGTAAATGTCCTTTATTTATTTGTTAATGAATAGGTGGTGCAACACGATCCGTGTAGAGGCGGTGCCGGCCACTGGAATTCACTGTTTAGATTTAAACATCTAGCAACTGGCCAATATCTCGCTGCTGAGGTTGACACGGATGAACCACGGGAACCCGTGAAAGGAAAACGTGGTATAACATTCATAGATACTTTGAAATTAATATGTTAGAGTATACATTCAGTATTTTAAATATTTAGAAAATAATTGATATTATGTATCATAATTTATTCTATATAAAAATACTTACTGTTAATTAAGGACAAATCGATCATTTATATGTATGATTTAATAGATCCACCTGGACCGGTCTATAGATTAGTATCGGTGCCGCACAGCAATGAGATTAGCTCATTGTTTGAATTAGATCCCACAACTTTAACGCGGGGCGATAGTCTGGTTCCGCAATCGTCCTTTGTGAGATTACATCACATATGCACAAATACTTGGGTTCATTCAACAAGCGTACCGATCGATAAGGATGATGAGAAGCCTGTGATGTCGAAGGTATTGTAGCGTATTCTAGTGATTACATTATAATTTAAGTATCAAATATTGTAAGTGAAATTCACATAAATCGAAGAAATATTAATTAAATTAGGGCGTTTTAATTACTCATTAGGTGGGTTGCGCGACTAGTAAAGAGGATAAAGAAGCATTTGCTTTGAGATCTGTGTCACCGGTTGAAGTACGCGATTTAGATTTCGCAAATGATGCTTGCAAGGTGTTGACGGCAATGAATAGTAAGCTAGAAAAAGGTACGATCTCACACAATGAACGGAGAGCTGTTACTAGCTTGCTGCAGGACATTGTATACTTTATTGCTGGATCAGAAAATGAACAGAATAAATCTGAAGCGTTAGAACTAGTCGTGACAAATGTAAAGGATGGTCCTGTGAGGGACCGTCAGAAATTATTGCGCGAACAATACATTCTGGGCCAATTGTTCAAAATATTGCAGGTATTTTAACTTTTAAATAGACATTAATTGTGTAGAGATATCAGTGTGAATAAGAACGTTTCACGACACTTTAATTGTAGGCTCCATTCTTGGAATCTGCAGAGGGTGAGGGACCATTTCTTAGGATAGAAGAGCTTAACGATCCGAGACACGCGCCATACAAATACATGTTTCGTCTGTGTTACCGAATACTCAGACTTTCTCAACAGGATTATAGAAAGAATCAGGTATTGCGATATTGAGCTTTTGATACAAGAAATTTGAATGAATGAATAAATGGATGACTGAATGATTACAATATATTGTAAGTATATATATTATTAAAAAAATATTTTATATTTTCTTTTTTATATAGGAATACATTGCTAAACATTTTGCATTTATGCAAAAACAAATCGGCTACGATATTCTAGCGGAAGATACTATTACCGCGCTTTTACATAACAACAGAAAGTTATTGGAAAAACACATAACAGCTGCGGAAATAGAGACATTTGTGGGTCTCGTTAGAAAAAATATGCGTAACTGGCAATCGAGATTTTTGGATTACCTGTCGGATCTGTGTATCTCTAATAAGAAAGCAATAGCCGTGACACAAGAATTAATTTGTAAAAGCGTACTTAGTGAAAAGAATAAGGATATTCTGATAGGAACAAAGTAAGTATAATAAATAATACAAACGGTGTTAATTTCTCTCTGATATATTTTATTTACTCCAGAATGGTGAAAACCCAGGTAGAAATTGAAGATATCGATGAGAAGCAAGAAAACGCTGAACCAAAAATCACTGTTATAGAGGAGTTTGAAGTTGTATTGGAATGGAATAGTGGAGCTGTTAGTAAGCTTGATATGTAGTTTATTAAAAGGTAGTAATATGCAAATTAATATGATGTTTAATGCAGAAATCAATGTCTTTGAGCGAGTTATCAAGAGGAGCAAAAATGGGAAACGTTCAAGATGCAGCAATATTAGACTATTACAGGCATCAATTAAATCTTTTTAGTAACATGTGCCTGAATAGACAGTATTTAGCATTAAATAATCTGTCATTACATTTGGACATTGATCTTATACTTAAGTAAGTTGTACATTTATTTTTAAAGTAAGGATTATTCTTAAATCACATTCGACACATCTCAATTTCTATGATATTATCTTTTGTAGATGTATGGAAGATGAAACAGTGCCATATGAATTACGCGCATCATTTTGCCGATTAATGTTACATCTTCACGTAGATAGAGATCCGCAAGAACAAGTAACTCCCGTAAAATATGCTCGTCTTTGGTCTGAAATCCCGTCTAAAATGAGTATAAACGAGTACGTAAAAAAACTTAATAAAACTTGAGTAGAAAATAGGAATTAAAACTTTTGTTTTTCTTTTTCGTAATTCTAGTTATGATACGAATAAACTGCCGGACCAAAATAAAGAGGCTGTTCGTACTAAATTTAGTTCAACAATTATGTTTGTTGAGGATTATCTATGTAACGTTGTCGCGAAAATGTGGTCTTTTGGGGATCAAGAGCAAAATAAGCTTACATTTGAGGTACATACTTTTTCCTATGTCTCTTAAATATATAATAAGTTATAATTAATTCGTTGCTCTTACGTATTTCGCTAGGTTGTTAAATTAGCACGTGATCTAATTTATTTTGGATTCTACAGTTTTAATGATCTATTAAGTTTAACAAAGACGTTACTTAGTATTTTGGATTGTGTGTCAGAGAATGAATCCACCGATGGGAAGATACCTACGGGGGATATTGATTGTAAGTTTAATTCTATTACTTCCATTTAATGATATATAATCTATAAATTATGTTCTGTACCATTTATTGACAAATTTTTAATAAACCCCATAAATAATATTTAGTAGTGAAGACATGTCGATTCATTTATATATATATATATATATACCATTCGCGCGCATTCATCTAATCTCGTAACATAAAATAAAATTTAATTTATTTTCTTGCATTATATAATACATTGGTGTATCACCGATATAATAAATTTTCCCTCCTATTCTTTCAATCATTTTCATGAACAGCTTTTACATTCTAGTTTCGCTTTCAGAAACTTGTATATAATATTCTTTTTTATGGTACTGTAATATATTAGTACTATATGTAATCCATGCTTCTCGCTTATATAAAATATCTTTGATAATAAAGTTTACTCAACTATGTGTGGTAAATTACTTATAATATATATAGAATGGTAAATATGTTTAAAACTAATCAATTTACTCTTGTAAATATTTTATCACAGCTGATACGGATTCTGAGGAGGCAGGTAATATCCTATTAGAAAGCTTGTTAAAAACTAATTAGATTGTATTATGCGGAATGAATATTAACAAGATTAAGCATGCAATCTTGTACATTGTACAAAGTAAATTCACAAAGCTTCTTACAAAGTTTTGCTTAAATATTTTTATAATAATACTCTCTTGTTAGAAATAAGTATTGCAAGAAATATGAATATTAAAATATCCTATATTAACAATTTATGATACCTAACATCCTTAATTATTAAACAAATATTATTTTATTTCATTATTTTTGAAATAAATCTCTTGTCCTTTTTCCATAATAAATAACAAAAGAGTCATTATTTTATATACTAGTTTTTATTTTTTAACACAAATTAAATTTTGCTACTATATTTTTTTACTATGTGATATATAATGTAAATATGTACAATAATATTATATACATATGTAATATTATATAATTATATATCTTGTTATTTATTGACTTAATATAAACTTTTATTTCTTATGTTTTTAAATAGCTGAAGGAGGTATTCTTAGATGCATTGGCGATATGGGTGCTGTGATGACAAATTTAACATTAGGACCAGCCGGTCAAGTGTTAGCTAGCTCTTCTCCAAGACCAAAGCCATTAATGAAGAAGGAATATCCCTTAGTGATGGATACGAAACTCAAGATAATCGAAATTTTGCAATTTATTCTGGATGTTAGATTGGATTACAGAATCTCTTGTCTTTTGAGTATATTTAAACGAGAATTCGATGAAACAGCATTAAGTGCTGCAGAGAAAACTGGAGATGTGACTCTAGGGCAAAAAGCTATTGATTTAGATTCAATTAGTGCACAGGCAGAAGGAATATTTGGGAGCAGGTAATATGTTTTTGGATGCAATGTATGAAGGTTGTACCTTACAGAAAAATAATTTTTTTTTAGTGAGGAATGCGCAGCGCTGGATTTAGATGGCCAAGGAGGCAGAACATTTTTACGCGTTCTATTACATCTAGCTATGCACGATTATCCTCCATTAGTCTCTGGAGCCTTACATTTATTATTTAGGCACTTTAGCCAAAGACAAGAAGTTTTACAAGCATTTAAACAGGTTGGACTTTCTTTAGATATTGAAGTAAGATTGTGAGAAAAAATTATTTGATAATACAAACATGCGGTTAACAGGTGCAGCTTTTAGTTTCGGATAGCGATGTAGAATCATACAAACAAATAAAGGCAGATTTAGACATTTTACGCCAATCTGTCGAGAAATCTGAGCTTTGGGTATATAAATCCAAGGTAATAGAAGAATATGGAAATAAGAAAAAGAAGAAGAGTAAAGAAGAAGAAGATGAAGCTACAGCTCCTCGTAAAACACCTCTGTTATCTGCATTAGATAAACAAGGTTTTTGTCTTAATAATTATTATTTTATACATCTTTTTTATGAAAAGTGAATAAATAATTATTTTTTATAGGGTCTGCTATTGATTTGGATATCGGCCCACCGTTACATCCCGATCAAGCAGAAGAATATAAAAAAATTCAGCAGATATTAATGAGAATGAACAAGCTGTGTATTCAAAATCTACCAGGCGGCCAAGTAAAGGCACGCAAACACGAGCAGAGACTTTTGCGCAATGTCGGAGTGCATACTGTCGTTTTGGATTTATTACAGGTTCCATACGACACCAAGGAAGATGTCAGAATGAATGAATTAATGCGTTTGGCGCATGATTTCCTGCAAAACTTTTGTCTATCTAATCAACAAAATCAAGTTCTTCTACACAAGCAGCTAGATTTATTCTTGAATCCTGGTATAAGAGAGGCGCAGACAGTATGTAGTATTTTTCAAGATAACTCCGTTCTTTGCAATGAAGTCGGTGCGAAAGTCATACAGCATTTCGTACATTGCATAGAAACGCATGGAAAACATGTGCAATATTTGAAGTTTTTGCAAACTATAGTAAAAGCTGAGAATCAATTTATTAGAAAATGTCAAGAGATGGTGATGCAGGAGGTAAGATGCCATTACATTATGTGCATATAACTTTTGTGGAATATTTTTCTAGCTTCATTTTTATTATAGTTGGTTCAAGCGGGAGAAGATGTTTTAGTGTTTTATAATGATAGAGCCTCGTTTAATCATTTTGTGGAAATGATGCGATCTGAAAGACATCGAATGGATGAGAGCAGTCCTCTTCAGTGAGTTGCTTTAGTATATTTTTTAAATGAAAATTATCTAATTGTATATATCATGTATTGTACGATGTTCTACTTTGTATCGATTTATTTAAACATTTGAGAGTCTCAAATATAAAATATATATTTATTGTGTTTTAGATATCATGTAGAGTTGGTAAAACTTCTAGCTTGTTGTACAATGGGCAAAAATGTCAATACAGAAATTAAATGTCACAGTCTCTTACCGTTAGATGATATCGTTGCTGTGGTGTCACATCCAGATTGTATACCAGAGGTGAATCTTTTACCGAATTTAATACACTCATATCTGATTAAAGTAAATATTACTGACATTATGTATATAATATTTATAAATAGGTGAAAGAAGCATACATCAATTTTCTCAACCACTGTTACATTGATACAGAAGTCGAAATGAAGGAAATTTATACGTCAAATCATATGTGGTCTTTGTTCGAAAAATCTTTTATTGTTGATATGGGTTTAATTGCCACATCCACTCATGATCGACAACATGCAGATACAGCCTTGGAGACTTACGTGACAAGTTGTTTAATGAACATCATATCTACATTTTTCAGCAGTCCATTTTCTGATCAAAGCACCACTGTACAGGTAACATCTTCATTTGTATTACAAGAGAAAACATTAATCTTTAATAGCGCGCGTGTGTGTATGTGTGTGCATGTGTGTGTATATATATATATATACACACACACACATATATATACACACACATACATACACTTATACACATATACACTCATATATATATTTTTATGTCTTTTCTTTCTAATTGATTAATCTATATGTTATAACATCTTATTGGTATATTTAGTCCTTCAGTGAATATAATTTCACAAGATAATATTTATTTTAAAAATATTGCTTAACACCAAATTAATTTTAAATTATTCACGTTAAGCCAAATTTAGAATTCACGCTTTTTAAACTAAATATTATAAATAGATAATAAGTTTTTGCACCTTATTTTCTTGATGGAATTTCTGTTGCACAAATTTCATTTATAAAAATGGATTTATTTAAATCTACTGTTCAAATTATAACACAATTTTTTTTAATACAGAAGAGAAATATTCATCTGATAAAGGTTTGCTTACAGTTAATATATTTTGATTATGTATATATATTTAAATAATATTGAATATTGGCTAATTTTAAATTTTGATTATAATTGTTAAAATATATAATTATTCAGATTTTTATTTATCTGGAAGCTCTCTTTTCACATTTATTGTTCACATTCATTATAAAATTAAAGTTTATTAAAATGAAGAAAAAAAAAGGAAAGATTGGAAATTTTGGTAAAGCTTGTATTTTTTATTAGTGTACATACCTGTATGAATACAGAATAACACAAAGATTAAATCGATATATAATATTTAAAAATATTTAATGAAATTTAATATGAAATAATTTTATATTATAAAAGCTATTCATATAATCACCATAATTTTCGAATGTTTTGCTTAAAGGACGTAATGAAACAAAATGGCATAAGATAGCAAACATTCTAATTACAAAGTATTATATATATGCAAAAAATACATCACATATACTTTATTTAATAATCTCTTGCTTTGCATGCAAACACATTATAAATTAAGTTCACTTATTAACCAAGTACATGTCACACATATACATACATACATATGTATAGAAAGAGAAAGAGTAAAATTGTTTTTCAAAATATATTTTTTTATAGAATATATATTTTTATTAATTAATAAAACTCTTACGTGTAATTATATACGTTATATTATAAGTTCTATTTAATTATTAAATGCTACAATTTTTACCTTGAGTAGATAATAATACAATACAACACAAGTATTAATTATACTAATTATATATTGTATGATGTGTGCTTGGTCATTGCTGAAAGCATCAGTGGCATGTTCTGTGTTTTTGGCATGCAACACCTGGCCTTCTTTCAATCAACAACATTGGTTTATTGGGTCTATGGGTACTATCCATCTATATGGTGGTGGGTTGGTTTACTAATAGAAACATCTGCACGAGGCTAGACTATATTGGAACATCAAGGAATGTGATCGGAATACAGATAATAATCTTTCTGGCTATGTGAGTATCGAATGTTAGAATCTTTTCTTAATGTCTGATGAATACAATACGGTATTCTTATGTCTGCAATATCAGAGATAATGGCTAAAATATTTTATGAAATAAAGAGAAAATTTCTCACACTTATATATAATAAATATTTAATCTTTTAAGGGGCATAAAGAATTTTAAACTATATTTGTAGATCATGTCTATTATGACCGTGCGCGCGCAGATTATATTAGAAATGTTTTAGCAACATAGAGCACTGACGTGTTGTAAATACAAACTGCATTTTCTTCTTTACGCCTGTCTCTGCATAATTAACACATTCATTGTCACTGAATGTATCCACTTTTATAAATCATTTGCTGGTGCTAACTATGATTATTGTATCTTGTATTATCCTTGAAATATTTTTTCTTGTTCTATTTCTATGTATTTCCTAAATTGTTCTAATTATAAGGAAAAGTTTGCACAATTCATATGGCATGTGTATAATAATTCTAATTGCTTGGCAATGAGTGTGTTACACTTTATGCGAGATGACATTTTAACATAATGGTAGAATTTAATTATGTTTTATATAAATAAATAAAAAAAAAATAAGCTAGACGTACGATATGATTTAAATTTACAAATTATGGAATATGTATAATATGTAAATAATAACACAAGATTATAATATAAATTTTGAAAAATGTTTTTTCTAAAAAGATATTTTCTAAATGAATTTTTTAACACATGATACAGCTTAAAATGATTTTTCCATATGAAAATATAATTTAATATAATACAATTTAATGTTATTTCTTTCTATATTTATTAATTTAAAATATTTAAGAAGCTTTTTTTAAGCAATTATACATTAAAAAAATTTTGTTATAATATGGACAATTTTCATTGATTCTTGCATTTATTTTTGCATGGAACAGACAAGGCAACCTATATTTGTCCAGTTACTTCATGCAGCTTTTAATGTATCACAATGTGCATGGTTAAATGCTGGACAAAGATTCAACGTTGAGAATTGTATACGAACTCTATCAGATATAGGTAAGTATCTTTTAGACTTGTAAAAAGTTCAAAATACTAATTTGAAAATAATGTTTATTTTTATGTAAATTTTGATAATATAACGTTACATTTAAAATTTTTTAGCTAAAGGAAGAGGTATTGCTATACCGACTGATCTGGAAAGCCAAGTCGCTAATATGTTCAACAAAGCAGCTATGCTCAGTAGACAAACTAGTAAATGGTTGCAAGCTGCTAAACAACCAAAAATCGAACGTAGTCAAAGTCAGGTAATTTATAACACATTCATAATTATAAAAATTTCTATAAAATTAATTAGAATGGCTATACGTGCCATCGTGTGAGCAATTGTGTAATGAATTTACTTAAATGCATAGAGTGACCTACATTGTGTGGAAGGCTCTAACAACGAGGTAAAGGTCACTCATAGAAGCATAGCACTTGATTAGTTTAGTGATGCTACGTAGTACGTTTGCTAAAATTAGTACACTGTTACATATAGATCACATGAGCTTCGTCTGTTTCACTGAAGACGTTAATTAGCTATAGCTACACATATACACATACATACATATTTGCATATAAATACGAAAAATGTACAATAAAATAAAACTCTAGACTTAGTTTTAATTAAATTCAATATTTAATCATGATTTGATGATGTGACTACACATGTTAATGGTAAAATCTTAATACAATAAAGTATTAAATATTAAATACTTATATATTTAAATACTTATATTAATATATATGAGAATAGATGTTTTGTATTGTGAAATGTATTTAAACTTTTGAACTATAAATTAATTTATTGTAGCGTAGATTGTACGAAAACTTTTGCCTATAAAACAACTTGATTAGTTGGCTATAATTAATTTATTTATTAATACTGTTTTTTTTATTTAGCTTATGCGTTTAGATCGGAGTATCATAGAAGGTTTACAGGACATAGTGTCTCTGTTAGAGGAACAATTGAAACCTTTGGTGCAGTCCGAATTGTCTTTGTTAGTGGATATTCTTTATCGACCTGAATTGCTGTTCCCTGCAGCAACTGATGCCAGAAAGAGATGTGAAAACGGTGGTTTTATTAAAAGGTAGATTTTTTCATTTGCAATATATTAATTGCAGTACAACATCATTATATTTACACATTATTTACAGGTTAATCAAACACACTGAGAAATTGTTAGAAGAAAAAGAAGAAAAATTGTGCGTTAAAGTTTTAAGAACACTCAGAGAAATGATGGCTATCGATCCTGAATACGGAGAAAAAGTGAGTGTCGTGGAATTATATTTTGCATGAAATTACATGAATCATTTATCATATTGAGGAAGATATATAACACAGCATCGCGGAAAAGGGCATTCAGCTTATGTAAATAGGTTTACGGTAATAATATAGAAAATATAAGAATATCATTGAATGTGTTGTAAGATAAATACATTGTCTTTGCGAAAAGTGATTCAAATATTTAATAAAAAAATTTCATGTTTCATACTAATTATTTGGCGTAAACTTACGGCGGATAAAAACTTATTTTATCATGATATAGCTGAATGCTCGATCGATCGCTCACAGCACATTAGACGAATTAATACGCGATTAAATATTTATTTGGCTTGCTGCATAATTACGAGAATAATGTAAAAGTTAATAAGATTTCTCAATACGCCACAAAGTCTTAACGACGGGTGAGTAGGTCTCGTAGAATAGATCTGTAGGTAAAGATGTTTTCATGCTGCGAACGAAGAACGAAGGTATCTCGGAACAGACGGAGTCAGAAACGCAGGGCGAGTCACAAGTTGGAACAGGTTCCAATGATCAGTCTGAGAATCGACAAATTATTCAGCAAGAGCCGGTAAAAATTAAAGTAGATAGAAAGAAATATGGGCACAACGTATATGAAACGAAATTTTATGCCGAACGTATTATGCTGAAAAGAGATCGGTGATTGCGTGATGTAATTTAGGACGCGCGAATGATAACTTCTAACACCACTACGACATTACATGCTGTTGCATTGTCAAAAGCAAAGAAACCCACCTAGGATATATCATCAGAAAAGAAGAAGAATCTATTTAATTCATTCTAAACTTCTCTCTGATCTGGAAATCATAACGAATCATAATTTACTTTCCATTTTAAAAGCTAACGATAATAATAAATATGTTACTAACTGTAGTTGATTAATTGTGTGATTAAGTTGTTGACTAAGTGATTGTCCATTATATGTTATATATACACATCGAGTCGTAAATGGTGTGATAAAATTCCATAAAGTAGAGAATATGATGTGGTAAAATTCTGTAAAGTAGAGAATATGATGTGGTAAAATTCTGTAAAGTAGAGAATATGGTGTGGTAAAATTCCGTAAAGTAGAGAACATAATGTACGTTGTGTAGATCTTTTATGCATGATGCTTGATTTAGGCATGTTTTAATTTACCTTTGTTTCTTATTATATTTATATGTTTATTTCTTATTATTATTTTATCGTTTGCAATATTTTACATTAAATAAGTCATCTCTATGTCTCCATGTAGAGTATTATATTTTGAGAAAATACATATGATATTAATATTATATTTATATATTATATAAATACATGATATATAAGAACTGTATGCTCTTATATGTAAAAGTTATTTTGATTCACGGTGCAAAGTAACAAATAATTAATAAAAGTAAAATGCATTAACAATGTACTTACAATACAGGAAGGGGCATTTAAAACAGGTCACCTGAATAACTTACTTGTTTTTAGTGTAATGTCAATAATTGTTTTGTAGGTAGAGGCGTAAAGGATAAGTAAAGGTCAAATCTGTTTTTTTAAATGGAACGATATGTTTTATTTACATTCTGATAGAGCATTTTAAGACGAATACAATTACCTATAATTGAAGGTCATTCAAGGTTACGCAAGATCAATAATGGAAAATAATTGAGTAGAAAATAAATTGTTTCAAGGCATTTTTCAAATAATTAAAAATTTTACACAGTTATTGACATCACATTATGTGCTTCTCGAAACCAAGCAACTTTTTCTTCTATTGTTAAAAACAAGCGAGTTATTCAGATGACCTGTTTTAAATGCCCCTCCTTGTATATAATTTATATTTTTGTAAAAAAATTGTTATATTTTTCTCCAATACATTTACCGTGTATTAAAGACTTTTACGAGCTACATCTTTGGGAATATTATTTCTAGAGATTTGTTTAATACAAAAAAATATATATCTCAATATTATTATATACAAGCATAGAGATATATATAATATAGCTTTATAGATAGATATATAAATGTACATAAATTATGTAGTAAGATGTACCAATACAATGATAGATTATATTTTTTAACAATTATACTAATAATTATAATACACATATTTTAATTATTAATACTTTTAGCCATTTGAAAAGGAGTCACATATATTGTGAATGTGAAATTTTATGTGAATTTTATTGTTTTATTAATTCCTTACTCCAATGACATGAATGTATTATTTATTATAGATAGCTGAATATTTATACTCACAATTATTCACAGTTAACACGTTTTGAGCATAAATATACATTGATACTAAAATATCATTGTATGCATATCCAAAATATGTGTGTTGCTATTATTCACTCTTATGTGCTTTATCCCAGGATTACACTTTTATATATGTGAATACAATCTTACACCTTTACATTAATTTAATTACGTATTCTCTGAAGTCTTTGATTTTCATATGAATCTTCACCAATTATAAATGTACAAATATGTGAATGTTGTTTACATTAACATTTACCTTTTTCTCTCATGTTGCACTTTATTTTGTCTCAAGTTAAAAATTTTATTCAATGATATAATGAAATTTTTTCCTATACGCATCCTAAATTGCACAAGGTATTTCTCACACCTATAAGCACATAAAGCACCGATTTTGTAAATATACGATTCAAATCCGTGCATAGATATTATTTGTGGTATAAAACTATTTGTGAATATATTAAGAGGAATATATCTGTATTCTAGATTTCTTTTTTTTTTTTATTAATGTTGTGCACTATGTATTGGTACATCATTCTGATTTCAAACGTGTAATAAAATGTTGACGTTAAATACTTCTTTTTTCCGTAGGGAGACGCATTGAGAAATAATCTTTTGACGCGTTATTTTGGCAAAAGTTTTATACAAAATCCGGAAAATGTTGATATTGGAGTATCCCGTAGCGCGACTATTACTCATGGTCCAGGAGGTAGGTCGTAAGATATTATTTTTATACTACATTTTATTATTTGGATGTCTAATAGCAAACTAATAATTGCTATATTTACAGCAAAGATATTAAGCCGAGCTGGAAGAACATTGCATGATGTGCAAACTCATCTTGATCGTGAAGGTGCTTCAGATTTAGTGGTAGAATTGGTAATTAAGAGTGTACACTCTCCGAGCATATTTGTAGAAGTCGTGGAATTAGGTATCGCGCTCTTGGAAGGTGGAAATCCTATTATACAAAGGAGTATATTTAATAAATTAATGGGTGCCGATTTAAGTCAATCATTCTTCAAGGTACGTTAGTCTTACAATTTTATAATGTGCATGTAAACGTTTACATTATTATTTTTTACATAGGTATTTTACGATAAAATGAAAGATTCTCAGCAAGAGATTAAATCTACTGTGACAGTAAATACATCTGATATGGCAGCGAAAGCACATGAGGATAAGGAGGGCAAAGAGGTTGACAAATTATCGCGAAAACATGGATCAGGTATAAGATAAAATAAATACTAATAGTAATATACCAAGCTAATTCTCTATTTAATTGGTACTTTTTTATACATTTCTGTAAATATATATATATATATATTC